CACGTGCATGCTATATAAAGGAGCATACTAGCATACTCAGCATCTGCACATATACCCATTTCAGAAAGAAACACTGCCTCTCTCTCTCAAAACTAGCTTCCTTTCAGAGCTATAGAGAAATAATAAATTCCCGAAAGGTGATTCTGAACAGCTCAATCAAACCTTGGAAATCGATCAGAAAAATAAGATTTTGGAAGCTGTCAATGTTCAAACATTACCACATAATGAGTTGTAAATTTCTGTCTTCTTTCTTCCTTTGTTCAACTATCTAGGACTAAATTAAACCCACTGGCCTCCCACTTGTTTCTTTATTTTCTCTCTCAACCCAAAAAAAAAGGGGAAAAAAAAGTTGATAGGTAATGAGATGCAACCACTGAATAGGTTGAGTGCCTATCCATTGTAAAAGTTCTAACCCACAACTTGTGTTTAATTAATTATAATTATAAGTTTTTAGTCATCTTAATTAATTATGTACAAAGGTAGGAAGGGAGACTGATGCATTGCCCCTAGCGTCTTGGAGTGGCATGTCACCAATATATAATGTACATAAACTAAGCTAAAATAGTACAGAAATTGAACGGAACATTGGCAGAGCTCTTTTGTTTAAATGTATAGTCTCCTAATCCTTATCCAGCATATATATATATATATATATTTGTCCTCTAATTTAATCCAGTGTTCCAATTTGATATAAATTGACATGAGAATATATTTGTCAACAAAAAACATTATTTCCAAAATTAAATAATACTGAAATTTCAACAAAAATATTATTATTTGACCAGAAAGACAAAAACTGTAATTACAATTTACAACAGGAGATCTGCTTTGGGCATGAAATTATGGAGGACAGCCGGAGAGGCTGTGGACTGGACAGAAATGGCAGCTTTTGCTTAAAGGACACAAATTCAGTCCAATTTTTTTAAATCTACCTGGCATAGCTTTTGCTTAAAGGACACAAATTTACACCACAAAAAATGAAGAGCTTGAAGAAATGTGATGGATGATTTATTTATGAGCTAGTTTATGCAACAGTCAACTCAAACTGAGCTCAATGTATAGCAACTAACTAGGCCTCAACTAGCTCGGTACATACATACCATTGGGCTGAATTTGGGGCACGTTTCAAATTCTCGGCTAACAAAATCTGCCTTGTGCATGTCTATTGACAGACTATTGATGATGTGAGAAATAATCAAACAATTGCTTCTCAAATGACAAATAGATGAGGTAAACATATTTATATTTAGGAGACGGTTTTCATCATCTGATAAAGCATTGTGAGATTTACATGCATTAATGATTGACCAGATACTTACGTTGGATGAAATGCCATTAACAGTTTTGGCTCTTATATATCTGTAGTTGGAAGTCGGTATTTCTTGATGAAGTACTAAAAATTCACATGAATCAACAAAATTTACAAAAATCATTGATGTATGACACATTCAAACAAATCAACGTTTAATAATGGTATCGTGCAGGTTAGTGTGGGACAAATGTGAACTCATTTTGGACCATGCATGAAGGCAACTGTACAAGGTAGCTGGAAGAATTTAGTTGAACTGTGCATCCACTTTGGAATTGGACCAAATATGAACAATAATGCAAAATTTTGAAAATGGGGTTGGGAGGATGCTTATCCTCCCAACCCCACAACTTCACAAGTCTCAAAGCCACAGACAAACACACACATCCTCTGTGCTATGATTCTATGGAGAGGGGGTAGACTTTTGCAGACAGAGTGAGTGACTGAGAAAGGAGGGGAACCTAATTTGAGGATTACAACAACTATTATTAGAGTTTAAGGACGAAATTGTAACTCGTGTATAATTTAGGGACTATTATTACAATTTAGCTAAATAAATAAATAACATCATATAGTAAAACAAGGTTATAATTTGGGGGCAATCTTAAAATTGTGCCCCTGAATGTCATACAACAAGTTGGAAAATGATTTCATGTGCTCAGATGGCAGAGAAATCATGAGAGATAATTCCCATCATTACTTGCACTTGGTAAACAAAAAGCACATCCCGTCAAATAATGCAGCAGGCCCCTTGAAAATGGGTCGACCCCATCCAAAATCAGCATCATAAATCGGTAGCCTAATCCCACTGTTTATCCGGAGATTGGGGCATCTAATTGAAAGAGGCCCCATAAGACCATCTCCAACCATGTTGGGGCTAAACTCAAATTTTCACCCTCCAAAATACAACTATTCATGTATTTTCAAGATTCAAAATTTTTTTTCCTCCAACCTTGTAGACTCATAATTTGAGTCCGCAACTTTATTAAATTGTTTAAGGATGATTAACCCCTAAATTTTGTTTCTTGTTAATTTTTCTTGACATTATTTTTGTTTCAACACTCGTGATTTAATTTTCTAAACATTTTAACCTAAAAAAAATAAAATTCCAAAACATAATTGAATTTCACTTAAAAAATAAAAATAAGTACAATACCATACGTATGCCCGGAATAATTCGAACTCTTCATTGAATTATGTAAGTGTGTTTAAATTATCTAAGCATTTTTAAATAAACGACAATCATTAAATTTTGCCGTTGAGTACATGGGTTCAGTAAAAAAAAAAAATAATAAAAAAAGCAGATTTTGGGCCCACAAAATTATCAGTCCAAGCAAAAAAGGGACTGGAATTCCACCCAAAATTTGAGATTTCTCAAATTTCCACCCCTCAAAATACATGGGTTGGAGATGGTATTTGAAGGCTAAACTCAAAATTTGAGTTTCCACCCCAAGGGTTGGAGATGGTCTAACAAATGGGGAAGCACAAGGACGATGAGGCTCAAGATAGTCAAGGGCTGATATGAGATAATCATCGTCAATCTGCGCCAAAGCATTGTGAACACAGCTTGCAGCATACCACAGTGGTAGCAATTGGTGCAGCTCTGAAAACGATATTGCCAAAGAAGCCAGGTGGGAGTGGGGGTTGCAATTTGGACCCTCCATTAACGGGAATGAATACTTTGGTGTCTTGATCATCCGCAAGTTTACATGCCGTGCAAGCACATCTCCAGATATGACCTGCCAACATCTAAAATGAGCTATACTTTGTATTATCAATGTTGCTCCCACTATTTTCCTTAGACTTGGCTTTCAAAATGTTGAGCTGCTCTCGCGTAAATCTAAAAATGGACGCAATAGTATATTTATGTTTTCCAGATGATGAGAAGGTAATTTCATTTGGGGAGAAGGTTGATATTCAATGCGGGGGAATGTAGGCTGGCCGAGGTGGGTTTCGGGCACGAAGTAACGTCCTGTCCATGAAGGGTTGAGTAATATTTGTGAGATCACCACGAGCGATATCAGACCATGTATTTACAAAATGCATATTGGAAACTCCATCTGCTATACGGTGGTCCATGCCAACACCAAGTGACACTCCACCACATTGAAAGTGCGTCACCTATACCTGTAACACCAATATGGGATATGAGGATATCCCACCGGAGTAATCAAAGGCGGGGATGAGGGTACGAAAATCGGAAGGGGGCGCAAAATAGCCAAAATCATCCAAGGTACAGTTGCTCTCCACCACAACAAAGAGCACCGCTTGTAAATTGCAATCAATCTCCAGACGGCCGTTGTGGTGGTTGAGCTTGAAGCGACCGGCCATTGGGTAGAAGGGCACGAGGCCTGATTGAGAAGTCCCGAGTTAAAGAAGTTGAGGTCACTACTTGCACTTGGTCTGTAAAAATAAACAGTGGACGCGTGATAGTTATTGAATGCTAGATCCGAGTTGGAGAGCCACAGCGACCCCCTGAGGGGTCGTCGACTCCTCAGCTGGCCTGACCACCGCGTACTCCCTTATGCTCACAACAATCACCTTCTCCGCCATCTTCTCATTTTCTGTTTCTTCTTTTTCTCTTTCTTTGGTTTGTATGAGGGTCACATCACATGGTGCCTTTTTTCACAAAAAGACGTTGATAGTGGCAGGCAGTGTGGGGTATAAAAACTACAATTATTTGACAAGACAAACAAAAGTAGATATAATTTACAACAGTAGGTATGCTTTTGGGTCTGAAATTATGGAGGACAGCCGGAGATGATGTGGACTGGACAGAAATTTGATCTAGGATTGAGAGAGGCAGCTTTAAGCCCAATAGGGTGGACTGCCAAGCCAAGGTTTAAATGGGCTGCTGCAGCATATGGACAATTCAGTCCAACTTAGCTCAATGTAATGTATAGTTAGCTAGGACTCAACTAGCTCAGTACATAAATCCACCAAGCACGGGGGCGTATATTGGGCTGAATTTGTCCATGTGTGTTGACAGGCTATTGATGATGTGAGAAATCATCAAACTCTTGCTTCTCAAATGACAAATAGATAAGGTAAACATATTTATAATTAGGAGACACGGTGAGATTCACATGTATCAACGATTGATAATTATTTATTGATAATTATTAGTGAATGAAGCATTGTGAAATTCATATGTATCAATAATTGATAATCATCGGGCAATAAGACATTGCGCGATTCAACATACATCAATAATTTTTGGTCGTGTTGTGCGAGTTAGCGAGGGACAAATGTGAACCCATTTTGGACCATGCATGATGGCAACTGTTCAAGGTAGTCGGAAGAATTTAGTTGGACTGTGCTTGCTTCCAATTTGGAATCGGACCAGATATGAACAATAATGTAAACTTTGAAATGGAGGTCGGTTTGTTGATTCTCCTCCCAACCTCAAAAGTCCCAAAGCCACATACAAACATACACATCCACTGTGCAAATGTTTTTTGGTCAAAACATCTACTGTGGTACGATTCTATGGAAAATATTGCAATTTAGCGAAAGGGAACACTGTTTTGCCTAGAGAAAAATCCAAGGCCTTAAAGATGTTAGCAGGAAAGTACGAAAGAGGGGAAGAGGAGGTAGACTTTAGCAGACAGAGTGACTGAGAGACAGTGACTTCCAAGGATCTCAACCTTTAAATTTGATGTGTCCCATTGCATCCATTACGTGTCAGCATACATGTCATTGCTTCTGAGTGACTTCTGACCCATCTTTTCTTTTCACTTAACTCCGCCACTTATTCCTCTCAGGCCTTCCAATTAATTCAACTCTTATCAAACTCTTTCAAGTTCAACCCCTACCCTATACTTCAATTCACTTCTTTATCTCCCCGTATATTTTATTGCCACAGAAAAGCCTGCTTGAATTTCATTTCAGTTGAAAACCAACATGAGCTCTTCCTCAGAGAAATCCAATTCTCCAGCCAAGCCAGTGAGAAGAAGGGCAAGCAGAAGGGCTTCCCAGCTTTGTGACATTAATGCTGTTGAAATTAGGAGGCAGATTTTTCAAGCCTTGCAACTCCATAGAGCATCATCATCATCATCATCATCTTCATCTTCATCTTCATCTTCATCTTCATCATCATCAGCATCTTCATCCCATGTTGTTGTTGGTTCACAATTTAATTCATTGGTGGAGTCTATGCCTCTGCCTGGACCTGTTTGGTCTACAACTGCACCTTCAGTTTTGGCTCATGCACCATCTGCAGCAGCAGCAGCAACCATGGAAGCCTTAGAATTTGAGTGGGGAGAGAACCAAGCCTCTTCCTATTCTTGGTGGTTATCTTTTCTAAATACCTTGGATAGTAACAATGCTGAAAAATCAAAGTACCCTTTATCACTGGGAAGTTCTAATTGGTTGTTTGGTCAGAACCAGAACAGTTGTACAGCACTTGATCAAGAGCCATCTTTGGTTGATGCAAATGATCAGAGCCCTTCCCCAGATGAATGGTTGATGCTACCAACTACAGAAGATGATGAGGGTGAGGTTGTAATTCCCTGAGCTTGGGATTTTGGATATAGATATATAGCTTAACATCTAGTATTTCATCCTCAACTATCTGTTTCATATTCTGCTTAGATTAGATAATGGGGATGATGTTGTATTTGTTTCCTTTTAGTGCACTAATTTATGTTAAGTATTGTGTATCAAATACAATTCTGTCTGACCATCCAATATTTTTAAAAAAACACTGATAAAACTCATATAAACTGGTTTAGTTAGAAACACTAAGTAATTATTTCATAAATATGATCATTATTATTGTGATTACCTTCATACTAATAGGATAAAAACTGATGGATTAAGCTATCCTTAAAAAAAAAATTTACTACTAGTTTGTTGAATGAAGGGAAAATTCAGTTGAATTTGGCTTAGTTTGAGCTGATTGAACTCTGAAAATTCTAACAGCTGAGTGGTAAATCAAATCCTGTATCTTTTGGATGTGACATTTGGCTAACACAGTGAATCCAGTGTGGAAACTTTTCCTGAAGTAGGGTAAAATCCAATCCATCTCTCAACTTGAAGAAGAGTGGCTTGGTCTTAATAGTAGTAGTTGAGAAAAGCTCATTGACCGTTTCAAACGGTCCAATCAATTAATGGTAGTCCTGCAATGCTTTCAAACTGGAGCTTGGAAACAGTGAAAAGGGTTAATGGTTTTATTGCCATTTTGGGGAAGGCATCAGAGACTGAAAGCTGGGCTGTGGGCCTCTGTTTCAATTTAGCCTACGCTTGGCGTGGAAGAAAGGCATTCATTGTCTGCTCTGTTTAGCCAAAAACCTCTTATAAAGAAAGCTCGTGCTGCAAGTTAGGTCATATTTTTGTTTGGTGACAGAAGTGAGGCCACATTTATATATGTTAGTGGGTTTGGTTTTTTCATTTCTACTGGGCCTCAAGGCTCAAGCCCCGATTTCACAATAGAACGAACAAAGAAACCAAAATAAATAGAAAGACATAAATTATGAAAGCAAATCAAATACAGATGACACAGAGATTTCTAACATCCAATCTAATATCAGGGGGCCATATATGCATGTAGCTGTCTTAACTTGTCATTGCCAACCAAACAAGCAGATAAAAAATTGTAAGGCAAAATTAAACGTGAATGCCATTGCCATCCGCATAAGGGTCTACTAGTGAAGGTGACAATGCATGCGACCTATTTGACCATTCACCAATCGAACCTGAATGAGAATGGCCAACAGCCTCTGTGTGACTATGTGACTTAGCAACTACATTGGATTGTCACTCGTCACCTAACACACTCTATGATCACTCTCTTGCCATCTCACTTGCTACGAAGAGCATTTCCATCATGGCAAGGGGCGCCCTAGGGCAGTTACTATTCATGTGAATAGTGGCTGCCCTAACCCCCCTTAGCAAAGTGTGTTTCCAGCAATTTAGGTTTGCCATGGCAAATACTATTCATGTTTTTGTTTTTTTCACAACTTTGTTTACTTAAACAATTAATTTAGATAATATTTTCGAATAAGATTTTTCGGTTCCTACGTGTCAATACTATTCATATCAGATAAGATTTTCGGTTTCAAATTTCAGATAAATTTCAGATAAATTTCAAATTTGAGATACATTTCAAAATTCAAATTTCAGATAAATTCAAAATGTCAAATTTCAGATACATTTAGAAATTCAAATTCCAGATAACTTTCAAATTCCAAATTTCATGTGAATTTCAAATTTCAGATAAGATTTTCACTCTCTAAAATTGCGCCACGTGTCATCTCTATCTGCCTAAACTTTTCTATAAAACCAGTGGCTCAACTCATACCCCCCACACCATATCTTCTCTACATCTTCATTTCTCAGATTTTGGATTTCATTCTCCATTCTCAATGTCAGACATGGAAGAGGTTTTGGAGAGGCAAGAGTGAGAAAGGCGAGCAAGAATGCGTAGAAGAGCTGCAAGCAAAAGGGCGCAGAGAGAACTAGATGAGCAACTTAGTGTGGCTGTTGCTTTGCTGGATGAAGAAAACCAGAGCCACCGTAGTTCACGAGAAGAACGAGCATCGAATTTGGCCGTTGTCTTGCCAAGACTCACACAAGCTAACATCTTCCATGACGCTCCATGCCCCTCTGGTTTCACTAGAAGAAGCCATAAATTTTTCTAGAAAAATACAACTTAAAAGTGAAAAAAATATACAAATTTATAAATAAATCCAATCCTAGACATGTATTTATAGAAAAACCCAAGCACTATTTAAACATAGAAACACACCTAAAATCAACCCCAAAGTCAACTTTTTGGGTGTGTTTATAAATGGATTTTGAGTGTGCGTAATGATGGGTTTTGGGTGTGTTTATATGTTTAAATAATGCTTGGGTTTTTTTTTAATAATTTAAGCCCTCATTTTGGGTGTTTTAGTGAAACTCCTAAAAAAATATTGAGTAGAAAGTGAATAATAGTAGAAGGAGAAGAAAATGTATGAGGAGTTGGTATTAAAAGTGAAGAGTATTTGTTGGTATTTATAGAAAAAAAAGACAGTATTTTTTTAAATTATTTTCGATTTTTTTTTTCATTTTTTTATTTGGGAAAATATTGGCTGCCGTTGGATTGCTGGAAAAAGGGAATCGGAGCGTCTAGAAGGAGCCACGTGGAAGAGAGCCGTTGGGGGGAGTTTCAAATTTTTTTTTATTTTTTTATTGGCGAAAAAATGGCTGCTGTTGGATTTCTGGGAAAAGTGGATCGGACAGCCCCAGCCCTCGCCACGTGGAATAGACCTGTTGAGGGGTCACTGTAGCGGACGCGTCAATTTTTTTTTAACGTGGTGCGTGCAACTTTAAAAAAATTTAAACCTCAGCGCTGACTTTGTCGTGACGTCAGCCCAAAACTCGTTTTGCTGCTCGGGCCAAACTTCCCTAAGGGCTAGCCCAGGTTGTTGGGGCCCACACCTTGCCCTAGCATATTTTTGTTGCTGGAAACACCATTTTGGGTTTCCCGCCCCCCCAGCCATCCTTTGATGGAAATGCTCTAAACCTCGCACGTAGTTAATTTCTAATAGGTTGATACATGTTTTGTTTGTTAAATTCAAAGAGACGGGCCAACGGCCCACTACTAACAACGCCAATATTGTTCCAAACTTAACTACCTACATAGCCCAGTATGTGTGAAAGGCCTTGGTGATATTAATAGTAAAACCATTCATTATATATTGTATTTTGTTTAATCAAGTTTCCGATGTAGGACTCATTCTTCAACATAGTTCACAATGCATCAATGGTAAGGTTTCACTTATGTGTGTGAGCAATTGACGTTAGCTCACACGCATTTTGATAATTATTAATGGTTAATTTACGTAAAATTCACAATGCATAAATCGTCATATTTCACTCACGTGTGCTTGAGCGCGATTGAAGCTAGAAGAATTCTAACTCACATTGGATCCCAATCAATCAATCAATCATCGTTTAATAGTTTCGAAAGTACCTTATCTCAATGTTGATTGTTGGGGTACCACATACCAAGTTCTCAGCCTAATAACAAAATTCTGAAGAGCCAAGTCTAAGAAACATGCACCACATGGTTTTAGCAACCTAGTTGGCCCATCTATAATTTTGCTAAAACTCTACCACACACAGAAATAGTACAAATTTCCATTCATGTGGAAGAGAATAATAATAGTCAACAAGACATTAACCTTAATGTGGATTAATGATTGAGACAAGAAACTTAAACCCATCAAAAACCATAATGACACATTAATCATTCGACAAACACAAAAGCCTAAAACCACATTTAAGTTAAGTTAAGCAGCGTGATACACATTTTAGGTACCGTAAACTTCTGTTCAATGTCCACTTTTAAGATAATTAGTTTTTCAGCCTAATTATTTGATCCAAAGATGCCCATAACATGATGCCCAACTTTTGTAGCCTAATTAAGTCTCCCAGATTTGAATGCGGATTTAATTAAGCTTAATAAGAGCTTCTCCAAGGGAGATGTCAAATACCAAACATAAAAAATGGACCTCCTCCTACCTGTCAAGAAGATCAGATAACATAGATTTCGTGGATGAGAAGTTCGTGTCGATTATATTGCAGATGCAAAAAATACGATAAAAAGACAATCAATGCAAATCCATTTAAGCGACTTTTCCAAACATTCTATGATCAGTCAGAAAGAAAGATTCTAGAATCTAGAAAATGAGAAGTGGTGGATCGAAGACATTAATGAAAAAAACAATAATGCGTGGTTGGTTCAGTATAGTTCCTATCCATATGAGTTTCTCAATTCATTGTACATTCAATAATTCTGGTTATGTGGGCTTCAGTCGGATTAAATTACAAGAATCTCTATCCTCTTGTGCACGAGGGGATCTGGGTTGGATCCAACTGGTCTTCATAAATGTTTGGCCACTCAATATCATTGTCACATTTTTGTTTTTCTTAAGTTAGGGTTAGGTTTGATCTAAAAATGAAGAAACAGAGGGCTCCCCTCCGTATATGGGGCTATAAAATTCACAGGATTTAATTCATGGTTTGTGCTAGCTAGCTGCAAAATTTATGTCGGTTAGCTTCACTTGTAGCTCGAGTGGTTAAGCCTTGCACTCGAAGTTCTGTATTTGAATCCATCTTCTCTAATATCGTTTGTATATATATAAAGTAAATAGAATGGAAAACTGTGTTAACGTTTCACATATTTTTGGAAAAGTGAAAAATAGCATGACTCCTCCTAATTCACCAAGTTGACCTTAATTTTGTTTTTGAACACAAATTAATTACCAAATTGTATAAGATCATGCAATATTTGCCAGCATAGAGTAGGTGGGTGGGGAGTGGGACTGCATGGAAGAAAAAGAAAACACACAACTCCATTATTGAAGGGTTAGGCCAGCCAAGAAAATTGAGACAGAAAAGGGGATTTGGGGAATTTCAATGACATTTCACGCTGAAAGTGACGGCGTTTCTACCTTCACCGGTTAATAGTTTCCTTAAAAAACGACGACACAATGGAGTCAAAGCGGTCGGACGGACTCATACAGCTTGGCATCTCCTGAGCCGCCACCGTCAACTAGTTTACCATTTTAACTTTCTAAATTACAGAAGTCTCCCTCCATCTTTTCTTTCTATTATAGTATTATGCGTAGGCACTGTTTCGTTTTATTTCTTGTGAAAAGACAACAAATGATTCATTTTCAAGACAACTTAGGCAAATTGCAAGGGAGGAATTTTTTAAATCAGCTACATGCAATCTTCGATGACTTCTTTTACACTCTAGGAGAGGGATGTTCAGTACTATTGATGTGTCATGGAGCTGTTTTTGGCTACCTTCATTTTCATCTATAAAGAAAGGAAAAAGGAGACAATTGTAGATAATAAATATGTTATATTATATATTATATATTATATATACACATAGTTATTTTTCTATGCCACGTCCACACATTATTACGAACAGAAATAAAAGCATAAAAAAGTAATAGAAAATACATAACGTCTGCATAAGAATATATATATATATATATATATATTATACTATCATCACCACATGTGTCAAATTGTGAACAGTATATCCCATGCATACAAACATTAATCAACAACTTCTTATGCGGGTTTGTGGGAAAATCTCAATCCTTATGTTCTTTTTTCCCCCACTATATTTTTCTTTTCTTTTAAAATATGCTAGTTAGGGTGAGAATTTTCATTATGTTATGAAAATTCAAGTCATATTTTGTGAAGACTTATATACCATATGGTTTTTATTTTGTGAATAATATATTTAGTTTAGAAATAAGAGCATCCTAATACCAAGTTTTCTAGTTCATAAGATATATGAAATATGACTAAAAATAAACATGTCAGATTAGTTTGAGTTTCTCTCGAACAAACAGTCAAATAGGTCCTATTAAGATTAATCAAATATTCGACACAAATCCTCCTATCCTAGCTTTCACTATGAAATCATTTTGTTCATGTTTCATGATTTTCCAAGTTTTTGGAAGATGTTGGATTAATTAAGTCGGTCGAGTATGACAAATTCAAAAGAATCCAGATATGAGAGTTCAAAGGGGTCAATTTTAGCACAAAGATACCAAGAAAATAAAAATAAAATTGTTCTAGGATGATGCACAAGTAAAGTGACATAACCCAACTTTTTAGATTCAAGCCATGGTAGGTTTAGTGTTCATCGGCAACTTCCATACCTACAATAGCCCCTGTCGTTTGTCCCCAGGAAAGCTTAGAGCTTTATGATTATTTAATACATCTATTCAAATATCTAATCTGACCAAAGTGCATGCTTTTCCTGTTGATACATTAATTATTTATGAGCCGAAAGAAGAATACTTCATGTAGTCATATTAAACAGTAAATACATCTAAGCGTTTGGAGCAAATCCTGACCATCTCCATGTCATGAAAGCAATCTATCACTAGAGTAGCATATTCGTTTTTTCAAATACAAGTTATAGTCTAAATTACTCTAAATTAATCTAAATTATAAAGAAGCGGACTAAAATTTAGGTGTAAGGGGATTAGCACACTGCTTTAGCCAATTAGCCTAACTCACGTGTGCCCGCCAGGGAAGTATATTCTTGAAAACACTGCGTTTCTTACATGTAAATAGTCATTCCTCTTGCTCTCGCATATCTCTCTCTCACACACATATATACAGAAATAATCTATTAAAATAACTATGGAAAAAAGGTTTTGAGTACGTGTCACACTATGATTTGTGCAAGAACCAATATTTTTCTATTATTCTCAAGCCATGAAATTTTAGGCTCTCAATTTTGCTATAAAAACACCTAGCCACATTCCTATGCATCCAAAGGGCAAGCCAAATATTGCTAGTTAACTTCTCCCTTGTCTCCCTCAGACCTAATAAGGAGGAAGCCCTGCACAAGCCAGAAAAATGCAGAACAATGCAATAGTGGAAGCCCTGTACAAGGCACTGGCCCAAGGCCACACAGAAGCAGTAGCAAAGCTTCTTGCAAGTGACCTCGAATGGTGGTTCCATGGCCCTCCACAGAGCCAGCACATGATGCGTGTGCTTACAGGGGAGGCAAGCCACACAGACTTCAGGTTCGAGCCAAGAAGCATCACAGAGGTTGGTGACTGTGTGATTGTTGAGGGATGGGAAGGCGCAAAGGCCTATTGGGTGCATGTGTGGACCCTCAAAGAAGGCCTCATCACCCATTTCAGGGAGTATTTCAACACGTGGCTCACTGTCAGGGATCTGAAGCCGCAGGGCTGGGAGAATTTCATTGTGTGGCAGAGCATGCCAAGAGACCTGTTCCACCGCTCCTTGCCAAGCATTATGCTTGCTATTTAGATGTGGGTGGTTTGGTGCTTAAAGAGCTCCAGACAACTTGTTGATTAGCAAGAAAAAATAATAATAATAAATTTTGAGAAAATAAAATGAAGGGTACTTGTGGGTTGAAGCTTTGAATTTGAACAATGCATGATAGACATCTCTGGTCTTCTGTGATGTGTTAAGAAAATGGAACTGCTGTTGTCTGTCAAATAAAATGGAACTACTAATAAAGATAAACCCTTGACCAGTTATTTAATTGTTTGATGGATTGTTGATTTCTTAGTTTACAAGTTCCGTTTAATGCAGAATAGGCTACATAGCCACCACCACTGAATCTCACAATCAATTACTTCAGTTTCAGTTGGTCTATAACTTATTTTTGGGGCTGGATTTTTTGACCAAAATCATTGTGGTTTTAGCTCTATGCAAGCACATTTTGTGTGGTCAAATTGGTATCAGATGACTTAATTCAATACCATTGCTGCATTGCATTGAACCATGAGCTTTACCTTTGTGGGCTAGCTCTGCCCAAAAATTCTAGCAAAGACATAGAGAATCAAAATTTTCCAATATGCATGTATTTGAAGTGTAATATAAGCTTATATTTCATTTCAACATACTACATATAAAGATGCCAAAGACAATGAGTTTATCAAAATCACATAATAGTTCCTGTAGTCTTTCCAGAACTTCGCTAATAATTCCTTCCTTTTTGTGTCTTTGGTTGGATATTCTCTTCCCTCTGCAAAATCAATGGTACAGGGGGCTCCATTGTAGATTCCTCTTTCACCTTGGGGAGCTGTCTATCTTGACTATGGTAATCTTGTTGAAGTCTGCTTGGACTTGTAGGCTTCTTCGAAAGTAGAGAAGTTTGATCAAATCTATATTCAGTAATTCCACTTTCACGCGGTAAGGGTGATAGCGCAGGCTTGCCATGCTCACTCATTTGCTTCCCGCAGAACTTATCTTCCACTATGTCATAGAAATCGGCTGTCCTTACTTCCTGAGCAAGTGAGCACCAGCAACAGAAAAGCCATTGCGCACAATCTGTAACTGCAGGCTTTCCACAGCATAAGTCATTTGCTGGCATGTTGAATCTCTTCCTCATTTGAATTCTCCAGAAGCCGCCGTACAGCAAACCAAACATACAAAGGACAATGCCAGTTAAACCCAAAGCTTCCCTGGCAATTTCATTCTCAATTTGGAAGGCAGCCAAACTGAGGATCCAAAATGGGGCTGTGCAGAAGAGGATAAAAGTTACAATATGAACATACATGTTACCAAACCCAAGCCTCTCCATGTTCCACCCAAAAACACAAAAGCTGCAGAAAAGAGATAAATAAGATATAGCAATATCATCCTGAAAATCAAATAAACCCCCTCTCCATTGAGGTGCATACTCAGAAATCCTTTGGCCATCTCTAGATGCAAATGAAAATGTCCTCTTGAATGACTTCATCATCAAGTGGCTGGACCGGCTTGTGCCATTAGTGAGAATATGATCCTGCGCTTCATGATCAACTTCATACTCCTTCCCGAGGGGACTAACAATGCAGTACACACCTGCTATTGCAGGGGCAGCAATTGCAACTGAAAGACAGACACCGACACCAACAGCAGGTCGCTCAGATCTTTTGTATCCCAAGTTAAGCACACACAAGGCATACTGAGCAAAGCAATTCAAATGGAGTAAAAAAATTACCACCATAATGTGTGCCCATTCATGGGGTTTGTAAGTACCATTCTTAGAGTACATTTTTCTAAGCAATGAGACATCCTTTGGCTTCCATCTCAACAGAAGTACAAGGTGGTAGATCCTCTTTGGGTGTTGGTAAAGAGCCATAAGAGTAAAGAGAGCATTGAGGATTTGATTGTTGATCTCAAACCAGGCATTTCTCTCTGACTTCTCGGGCAGGACGCTGTTTAACATTCCCGTCATCACAAGAAATAGGATTGCTCCTGAGACGGCAACACAACTTATCCATAAAAGGATGGCCATATTCAGAGGGTTCTTGATCCACTTTTTGAAGATTTTACTCATGGATGCCCAATCAATCTTCTGAGCAAGAATCCCATTGAAACATTCTCGCAAACCTTGGCTTTTTGAAGAAGGTACAGATCCTGAGATTTCATCTCTTCTGTGATTTTCATCGCTAAGTAAGCCGTCCCTCTTGTGATGTCGAAATATAAAGCACATTGTTGTCATTAGCCCTGTAACCATTTTAGTAGCACCTCAAGTTCTTTTATCAATCTCGGTCATGCTACCACCATAGCCGGAGTCACTTTGCAAGCAAAACTGAAATTCATACAATTCGAGAAGTTTGAAACTCAAAAAGTACCAACAGAACGCCCACGGTTTACACCAGCATGCTCATTAGTTATTACTGAAGTTCAGAATGCTGAACCATACTGTAGCTCTTTACCTTTTACATGTTCATGATCAATAACCTAATCAATTACATTAGATGATCAAAGCCAGAGTCCCAAAAAATTCAAAACAAGGAAACACAGAGAGAGAGGGTGAAATCATTTTTCTGAAATCCTGTTCCAACTTGTGAAGAAAAGGATTGCAAACTAAAGTTTCATTCACCATGGAAGTTGAATTGCTAAACACAAAAGTCTAAAGCAGACATTGTCAAAATAAAGTACATGGGAATTTTCCGACATATTCAGATATTTCAAATATGTATTCTTCTCCATTTATAAAGAAGTACAAAGATGTATTAACCTAGATAAAATAGGAAATAATCCTCAATTACAATAGGACTAAATAAACTAGTAAGTAACCAAAATCCTAATTAAGTACGTACTCGCCAACAGACATCTGTGGAATGAAAACCCAACCATTCAAAAACAGAAAGACTTGAGGCTCTTAAGTACACAACGGTTCTAAGATATTTATGGTCCACGCTCACAGGAGAGAAGGCATTTAGTTCTCAAACAAGCAATTCAAAACTATCACAATTCACACAAAAAATATGAAAGAAAGAAAGCAGTCCAAGATTTACTTACAATTTTCTGAAACTGAGTTTCTGTACTTCTGTGATAAGAGAAGAGAGCTATGGATGGTGAGCAAATAATCAGAGAGGTTCACATGTGAACATTACTTCATTTTTCTTGTTTGCCTTCACCAATTCTTTCCCAATTACCGGTCTTCAGCCAGTGACATATGTCCTCCGGCCGGAACAGAAGAATATTTGTCAGACTGGAAAAAGCAAAAACGAAAAAGGTTTGCAAAAGCTATATCACTATTTTTCTTTACAAAGAAGAAAATAAAATAATTCAATTCTTAATGCAGTAAAGATTCAAAACGGTACTCCCCCGCACGCGTCGGGGCCACGTCAATTTGGTACCGCACGGGACCCACACAAAGATCAGAAAAGCTTCACGAGCTCAAAAGAAACTCCGACTTTTTTCAACCCAAAGTTTTTGGGTGGTCGGCCGCTTAACTGCCACGTCACTGAACAAGTGACCTGATATTTATACCAATTTAATTTTTTAATTATTTTGGGTCCTGAAAAAAAAGAAAAAGATAAAAAAAGAAATTGAGGCTTTGCCTGGTAGTGAAATTGTGGTGCTTTTGCCTTGATCTGAGTTTGTTTTGACCTTACATTTACAGCAACATTACAAACATTTTAAGGTAATCTGCTTGCCACATAAATTACAAACTGAACAAATACATATGCTTTCTGTTTCTAACAAGCTCACAAGTTGAGAGTGGCGCCCCCCTACAAAGGAGTTTACAGAGGAAAACAATGGAGATATTGACAATGGTATTCTGAGAGCTCAGATGTTCCTCTCTAATGCCAAATCAAGCAGTGTACGGAAAAACTGGTGAGGGTACATGGGTGGTTCCTCTGCCAGTGCCTGAAAATGCACAACAAAAGGTCTAACCAGTTAGCAGTTGCTACTTCCTGTCCGTGAGGATCTCTTTGTTGTTGGCATTTGTGTGCTCTATCAAAAATAAATCAATATGCTCATTCTAAAAAAGTTTTTATTTGTTTGAGATAGCAAATTCTTTGGCTTGCCGGTAAGAGTTTTTATTTGCATAATATTACATGTTTTTTTCTAATAAAATGCAAAAGCAAAATGTGCCGGTTGAATTTCCAATTGCAAATTCAAAACAATTATTATTGGATGCGAAGTAATTCTCTACCCCCAATAGAAAAAGTTTGAGTGGAAATACCTGATGAATAAGGACAGTGGAAGGCGTCATTCCGGGCACCGTATTGACCTCTATGATCAAGACCTTTGGAAAATGAAATTGACAACAGAGTGAAAATGAGATGACTAATAAAATATATCCACACTTTTTTTTGGAGTCGTCCAAACTCCAATCAATTAGGAAAAGAAAAAAAGATATAAAGGAAAATGTCCATAAACATCATACCTCGCCACTATCTACATTGACAAATGCATCAATTCGGGAAAATCCCTCCAATTCAAGAGTGTTTGCAATTATTTCAATACGTCGCTTACATCTCTGCAAGGCCTCGTTGCTGATTTAAGGAGGGGAAAAAGACATTAGAACAATATGATTCAAACATACAAAGCACAAAAAGGAAAATATCTTTGAAGTCAAACACAAGAAAGGGAAAACCATAAAATTACAAAATCATTCCTCACTAAACAATACTCTTAATAAACAGATCCATCCTTTCCTCAAAATAAAGGTTCTTGACAAACCTAATAATTGATGATGGAGGTGGAGTGAGATTGATGCCAGTCCCACCTGCAAAAGCAAGTGAATTGTTATTAATGATAGCTTACCTTGAAATTTCTCCTCAAGAGATAAAATGTCACCACTCTCCCGGACAGTGATGCTAGGACTCAACGAACGCATTGATCCTTGTTTCCCAATAACGCCAACAGTTATTTCAACCCATCTACTCTGTCCACTCCACAAGATCTGATGTCCATTTTCATTTCTAGATACAATTATATTATCAGTATTGATAAAAGGTTCAAAGATTAAGAGCTCCGGAGGGGGGTTTGGCATCTCAATGGTTCCATGAGCCTACATCAAAAACCAAGATCAAAACTTAAAGGTGGTATATTAGTTTTCTGTACAATGGATAAATGAAGGCCATACAGAGAAATCTGCAATTAAACCATTCCATACCTTTGACAAACTATTAGGAGGAATCCGGAGAACACAGTCTTCCAATGCTTTTACATAGACTGAAAGGTCTCCGACGCAGCTGCATGCACAAACGAAGTGCCATAAGAGCTTCCTAGTATAACTATTCACTACCATTGAACAGAACATGAAAAAAAAAAAGTACACCAAGGATTAACCTACCATAACCTTGCTACCCCAGTTGAGCATCCATCTCTTGCTGGTTTAACACATATTGTTTCACACTGAAGCTTTGAGATCAAATCATGCCATACATTTCCTATTCGCATACTAAGGAGATCCTCTTTTCTCCTCAAATCTTTGTTTATAGTAAGAACTCCTAAGTCCGACAGCTGTTCATTATAAGAGATCACAATACTTCGTTAACTAGCAAAATATGTGGGTCATATAAAGCACAAATGATAACAACAAAACCTAATTCATCTTCTTGGACATATACATATGAATTAATTAGCATACATGTTTCAGAGCAAGAGATGTTGCAAGTTTGTCCATACAAATCTTTGAAGCCATCACTCCAGGACCTTTACTTAACCAATAAGAAAAAAGGTCAACAACAAAAACAAGACAACAATATCTTCCTAAACTGAGTATTGATTAGAAAAAACCTGTATGTGGAATCCCTTCAGCTTCCAACAAAGATTGAAGTGTGCCATCTTCACCAATGCCTCCATGTACTATGAAATATGAATAGCATTAGATAAAACCTCGTAAGTACTTTAAATCTTTTATTTTTTGAATCTTCTGATCTCTAAGCACAGTTGCATGGAGCCTAGTCACACTCTTATAAGTTGTTCTTGATTCTTACCAATTATGTTCACAAAAATAGTGACTTACAAAAATGAAAACCAATAAAATCAATTAGAAGTCATATCCACCAATGCTTCGGAGTTAAGGCTGTGTCTACTACTATGAGAGAACCACTTGATACTATTCTGTTAGCAGCTAAAGAACCTACAAATTCTTCTTGCCCAAGTCCCTAAATAACAGAATCAGAACCCTATGAATCTACGATTTTAAACTAATTTAAAAGTCAGTGTCAACTTAGTGTCCACATATTCCTTCCTAGCTATGCACATTATCATCTGCATCTCTCTCTCTCTCTCTCTCTGAACTTCTGTTTCAGCAAAGATGGTTCATAAAATCAACACTCCATTTGGACTATATTTTCCCACAACCAATACAAGTGAAATTCTTTTTAAAACACCCAGAAGATCTCTCAGACATTAGTAATTATGTTATATTGTACTGATATAATGAAGAAAATAAAATATTAACAATCTATCACTAGCAGATAATGGTTGACAAAGAAAACCTGCAAGAAAAACTGTAGCCTGAGCTTCCTTGGCTAGCTTGATCCACTGTTCAACTGTTAATTTTACAGGTGGTTCATCAGTAATATCAAAACCCGTAAACCAGGAATGTTTCTTCAAGCCTTCCATGAGATTTTGAACAACTCTGTTCCTTAAGTGAGATGTAAGTGCAACTCGGTCAGGTTCAGTTGCCTCTGTGCATGCATCAAGAACTTCTTCTGTGGTGTGTCTTAGCACAAGAGAATAACTGTTCATGAAGAAACCTAATTAAATTGTATGAAGAATTAGAGGAAGAGGGCCCTGTCTACAACACCCATATGCTTTAGTTAAGGACTTGGACTGCACTGAAGTTTCATTGTCACCCTAAAACATTTTAATGCTCTTTTAAACTGCATTGGTAGATATCTTGGTTTCAAGGTATTTAAGTACATAGCAAATGAAATGGCAATTAATAACTCAGGATTCCGGTAGATCTTTTATAACATAATATGCATGTCAAGGAAGATGGAGAATTAACTAGCTTATATATATCATAAGAAAATAAAAGTTGCCAAAAGTGTTCACAGGTTTGCTGAAGTATCACTTCGAGGGGCAAACAAGACTTCTAATGTTCTACACCAATTTTCATTTCTGGTAGTAATTCTAATAAATGAGTATAACTTCAATAAGAGAAGTGGAAGCGCAAATAAAATGATATGTATAACTTACACTAACAAAAAGAAGTGATCTTCACTTCTGCCCCACCTTGTGCACCCACCCATCCACAGAGAGAGAGAGAGAGAGAGAGAGAGAGAGAGAGAGAGAGAGAGAGACTTACGGTAAAGACCAAACTGTTCTGGAACTCACATCAACTTCGTTAGATGAATCTCCAGTTGTGGGGGCAAGCAAACATGGAATTACTTCGAGCTGTAGCCAACAAGATTGTCAATGTCAGATAAAGTCATAACTATCATGCACTTTGATCAAATAAAGAATACTTCTAATGACAATATAGTTATCTACAGAGTGAACTAAATCATTGATCAACTACTGAAGATAGTCTCAGGAGAAGTTGAAAGGATCCACTAAAATTCTTCGAACACAGAATCAAAGCTTTGATGAGACGTTCCTCTTCTAGATGAAAAACATTAACAGATGTTCAGATTTTAAATGACTGTAAAAGCTTATAAAAATAGCTAACTCATATGCTTATACATTCATCGTCTTGAAAATTTTCAAAATAGGATTGTCTCCCTGAAAATTTCTATGTAGCTTCTTGAAAATTTAACCAATGTCCCCATTCTGAACATTTCACACTTCCAAACCATAAAGCATATTGTACACTCAAAAAACTACATGCCCCATGAATTGGACACTTACATCATCAAAAGCTTGCAAGTTGAGCCAAACATTTGTTCCGCTGATAAGAGATACTTGCCTCTCTGATGAATCTCCTCCAAAAATAACAAAAACTTTGCGAGTGCCTTTGCAATTATGAACTGCTTCATTAAGCAGTGAGGTTTTTGATCTTCTAGGTGCATAATCTGATACACTGCCAAAGGATGCAAGATTCGGATACCGCACACAAGCATGACGAATTATGCTCCGGAGAATATTTGAATGAGAAAAACCAACCTGGATCAGAAAAGCAGGTCTTCAAGCAAGTTAGTGGCACCAAAATGTAACAAGTACTGAGAGAATGGAAAAAAAGAAA